TTGGAAATTTTGGAAATTTTGGAAATTTTGGAAATTTTGGAAATTTTGAAATTTTAGAAATTTTGGAAATTTTGGAAATTTTGGAAATTTTGGAAATCCGGAAAGTTAGGGGAGAGAATTTTGGAAATTTTGGAAATGCTGGAATCTGCTCTATATATGACTCAAGTAAGATTACTGTGTAGTGCTTTTAACACTAACGTTGACATGTATATTAATGCTTTCATTTCGAATATGCACATTACTAATTCTATTATTAACATTAATACTCCTACGCCTACCAATAGTCATATTCATATTGATATTAATGCCAATACTAACAGACACCTGCGTATATTAATGTCCGCAGATATACATACCACTATCTGAAAAGCAAATATATCATGCATTCGTGTACTAACGTAGTATATTCGTATTTAATTTGTCATATACCCAGTTTCCAACGTGACAATATACTACTTGTTAACGTCTGATTATACTGTATTGATATGCTAACTTGCTAAGACACGAACACTGTAATACGCAAGTACACTGACACATGGCAATGGTATACTAACATATGGATATACCAAAAAAGTTGTTAGATAATCTACGAATATGATAAGTGAAGTAGCATACCAGGATACTCATACACTAATATGTTAAGAATCGAAGATAATAGCACACCAATGTACTAATGTACTCATGCACGAACGTACGCATGCATTAATATACTAAGAGCATACAAACATACAGGTATACAAACATATTACTGTTCGAATACATTATAATGTGTTGGTATACTAAGCTGTTTATATAATCTATCAGTATACTAATATATCAAAACTAATTATAGTATTGATACGCATACTAGCACGTCCGCGAATATTACACTGATGTTAAATTCATCATTAAGACTGATTGAAACTTACATCGACAATGGCACTGGCATCAACACTAATTATCACTAAATATGCTAGTGTACTAATATACGAATACTGTAAAAGGCAAGTACACTGACATGTTCACATGCCATTATGCCAACATATTGATATACCTATAAGCTATTAGGGAAAATACGAATATAGTAAATGTAGTAATAGACCACTATAATAATATACTAATATACTACTACGTTAACATACGAATATCATGATACACCAATATACTAATGTACTCATGCACCAACGTACTAATATATTCGCGCAATCTTCAACTCTGCAAATATACTATTGTTCGAATACATTACTGTATTATTATATTAAGCTCAAAATGTACGAATCAATCAGTATATTCACATATCAAAACTATTTCTATAACTGATACTAATACCAGCACTTCTGTGAATAATAAACAGATACTAAAACCAGCATTCAGACTGATACTAATACTAACACGAGTACTATCACTGACATTGACATCGACACTGGCACTAACACCAGCACGAACATAATCACGAGTTCATATTTACTATTATTGATATGTATACTTTTGTTCAATACTAATACTAATACTGATGCTAATACTAATACTAAATACCAATACCAATACTAGTACTAAAGCAATACCCATCCTAATATCAATACTACCACAAAACTATTACTCATATGAACACTGATACCAGGATTAGGACTACTACAAACAATGACAGCAGTACTAAGAATAGAACCAAGAACAATACATATTAATCCTAACACTAATACTAGTACTAATACTAGCTACTAATTCTAATACTCATACTCATACCAATACTAATGTCACCACTACTGCTGCTACTACTACTGCTACTACTACGACTACTACTACTACTACTACTACTACTACTAGTACACATACTTAATACTAAAACTAATACTGATACTCATACTAGTCACTAATACTAATACTAATACTCATTCTAATACTAATACAAATACCAATACTAATGCTACCACTACTACTGCTGTGCGACAACTATTGCTAGTACGACGACTACTACTATTAACATCAAGACACATACTTAATGCTAATACTAAGAGTAATACTAATTCGAATACTATTACTCATACTAAACATCCTAATATCAATACTACCACAAAACTAATACTAATGCTAACACTGATACAAGAATTAAGATCTACAAACAGTAATAGTGGTACGAAGAGCAGAATTGAGATTAAGATTGGGACTAGGAGCGCTGCATGCGTGTGAAGAAATTTCCAAAAATTGCAAACCATCTAAAAGAACATTTTGGAATTGAGTTTGGGAGAAGTGTCTGTCGCCTATCCGTTGACAGACCCTGCCTGGGGACGCACGCCACCCTTCCCCTTCCCCACGACGGTCTGTCATGGGGGGGGGTGAGCATATATATATATATATATGTATATGTATGAATACATGTATAGGTATGTGTATATAAATCTATATATCACACATAATTAGGCATATACATACATCAATTTCTATATCTCTACTATATCTATTTATATACATTCTCGTGTGTGTGTGTGTGTGTGCGTTTGCCTGCGTGTCCGCATGCGATGGCATGAATCGACTCGCCGCGCGGATCAGCGTTTCGGTTTGGGGCGTAGGTTTTGCGTAGCTCAGTTTCGAAGCAGTGTGTAGAACCACGTGGCCCTAAGCCCTAAAGAACAGCACGGAGATCAAAACCTAGGTACCGATTTGGGAAATGTTTACTTTCCCTGTTTTTTTGAAGCCATAATTGCGAGCTGATTTCGGGGACCGTTGAAACTTTAGCCTTCAATGCTAACCCCAAACCCTAATCCCCCAAACCCTAAGCCCCTGAACCCAAAACTCCTGAACCTTCAGCCCCTATGATTATAGTAGGTAGCCTTATAGAACCCTTTAAAGGAACCCTATGCCCCTATGGTGCCCTCATAGTAGCCTTATAGAACCCTTTAAAGGAACCCTTATAGACCCCTTTAAATGAACCATAGCGACGAAGTTGACACCCGCCCCGTCTGAGGCCTTCAGCACCGGCAAAGGCCGCTCCAGGCCGAGAGATTTTGGGGTTCAGGGTTAACCTTAACCCTGAACAACATACCTTTTCAGGGTTCCTTATGATTTCAATATATGACTCCTTAAACATGGGGTTGAGGAAGGGTTTAGGGGTGAAAGTTGTGAAAGGTTGGCGTTAAACACACGTTCAACACTAAGGCTTAAGGATTGTGGCCCTAAACCCCCAAACCCTAAACCCAAGCTAAGCAGGCACAGCAAGCTCCGGGTCGGGGTTCTGAGCTTCCCTCAAGGCAGTTCCCATATAGCACGCATTAGAAATACAAGTTTTCAAACCAGGGTTCATTTTCCATTGCTTTTTAAAACCTTCTAGAGAGTTCGCCCCACGGATTCTTGAATTATGAAGCTCTGGACATTTACATATGCATTATAAACCCTAGCTACAGGCACCTTAAGCCCCAAAGCTCTAGTCCCGAAGATCCCACCACAGGCGACCAGAGCGGCTATGGCACAGCGGAGGCTCGGAGACTGAGTTTCAAACGCTCGGAGTGGCATCGGGTTCAGGATTTCGGTGAGAGTTTAGGGTTTTGGGTTCTGTTTGCTTGCTGATCACCTGTGGTAATCATCTGTGGCTCCTCAGACGGACAACATGTGCACATAGTGCAAAATGCGAAACTGTCTCAATATCGCTGTCTGTCTATGCGATGTTCAACCCCGCTGCTGCCAGTCACTTTTCGACCCCCTAGATAATTCGATCTGAACTCCGGCATGCATCCGGTATTCTCTTGCAGGAATCTTCGACAGTGCCTGCGCCAGCCTCTCAGAGAATGTTTTTGGAGGTTTTGCTGCCCACACAGGCTCTGGCTTCGGTCTTACTCTGCCTAGTCAGGCCCTAAATTACCGTAAATAACCCAAACCCTAAACCACAAAGGTTTTTGGGTTCAGGGTTTCAAACCCTGAACCCCTAAAGCCTAAACCCAAATTCCTAGACTAATCCTAGGGTTTATAGTTTCAAACTCTAAACCCCCAAACCCTAAGCCCAAATTCCTAGCCTAGTCCAGAGAGCGTGCACTGGCGGAGGTCCTCTTCCTCGGCGCGACCTCCTTCCTCTTCGGGGAATGCCTCGAACTCTGTTGGTTGCTATGGGGCCGTCATAAGTAGCTGAGAGATAGAGAGAGCCTATTCCTTCTGAGCGCCCCAGCGTTTTTGCATGGCACAGGTTAGTTTAGAAGGGGCCTTATTAATAATCATGGGTGTCACGGTTCGGTTCGGTACGGTTGGCGTTGTCTTCGGCTTCCTTCGAAGATGTGCCTGTCAGTCCGGTCGGGTTCGGTGCCACCCACCTCCCACCCACACCTCCCGCTTTCGCGCCTCCCACTTCCCACCTCCTGCTATCGCACCTGGTTTGTCTCGTGCTTGCGTTGATGCATATCTTCGCTCACAACGGGAGGGCTTCGGTTCGGTTTGGTGCGGTCCCAAATGCTTCGGTTCGGTTCGATACGGAAGCGGGCGGTTCGATACGGTTCTCGGTGAAAGTATTGTTAAACGGCCAAAATAATTACCTACACTGTTATGATGATAGTATTAAAAGTTCCCAAAACCCTATTCTAATTATTAAGGCCCCGACATCAGGAGGTCTGTGTCCATGTAGTTTCTTTATTATGGGTATATACCTAGGGGTCCTTATTAGGGGTCCCTCCTTTTACCCTTTGTGAAAGTCAGGTTTTACAGCCGCTGATGTCAAAGGACCATCCATGGCTACCCCGACTTCGCAATGCTAACTGTTTTTCGCGCAAACAACAACGTCGCAAGCTGCTTGTCTCGAAAGCTTGGCATGAGATCTGAGGGTGTACAAACGTTGATCTATCATGCTAAGCTACTTCAGTACATGCCTGCTCGAATGGCCTCGACCTATCGTAATATGCAGGACTTCTTTACACGACTCAAGGGCTTTCCCCGTAGCCTTCCCTACAGGGCCCAAACGCATTCCGGAGCATAGCACTTGACAAGCCCCTTCTCATACAACTGCACATGTTGACGTATTTCATCACTCCTCCTTGGCCTAGCCGTTAGGCTTCGGCCATCCGAGAGCTCTGTCCAGACGTCGTGAGGGTGGTGTTGAATACCCTCTCGTATTCACGGGCTCTTTCAAGGTCCCGCCCGTAATCCGGCGTTTTGTCCGGATCTTCATTGGCACGATTGCTGCAATAACGGCAAAGCCTCCTTCGCTCAACCTTCTGCAGAGTACCTCTGTGTCTAAAAGCATGGCAGTCATCATAAACATGGAAACAGTCATTGTCGGGCACGACGTAGGTAGCTTCCGGTGGCTCATGTACATACCTCAATATAACCCTCGTAGACGGACCGTGCACCGGTGTGAAGGCCGTAGTCTGAATCGCGACCTCCTTGGTCTCCTTTACTCCCTGCGCCAGTCGCCGAAGTAGGTTCATGCGCTCTTCAGCGTGAGGATCTCTGTGCTCCCGCGGTGGATCAGGTAGTTGATCTCTGGGCCTGTCGCGAGAATCTCTGGCTCTCTGCTCTGCCCGGGAACCGACCCTGGCACTCACTTCACGGTGGATAGCCTCTGCCGTTGCATCACGCAACCTCTGAAGCCTTCTCAATCGCCGTTGGGTGGAGCCCGGCGCCGCCCTGTCATAGATCATCCACACAACCCACTTCAGAGCTTCCCAGGATAAAACACCAACCAGCACAAGGCACCAGAACAGAAGCCACGTCACCAGCCCGTAGTCTACAGACACTCCACTTCCATAAACCACAACCCCATGGTCTTCATGAACTCGCTCTCCAGATACCGCTTGCGCCAGCACCAACAAAGCAATTAGAACCTTAGGGATCGGGCTTAGGGCGTGTGCTGCTGGGCTGCCGCTGCTGCTGCTTTGGCTTCTGCTCTCTGGCTCCTCCTGAAGTGAGGACACCGTACACAACGACTCCATTTCATCCAGCAGTCCAATCAAGCAACTCAACGACTTGATTCGTGCCGAAGACAAAGGCTTTGTTAGCATATCTGCAGGTTGAACTTCACCATGACAGTGATTAAACTCAACGAGGTTCTTGGCAATGAGCTCACTGATCCAGGCACTTTTCAAACGAAGATGTCTGGTACGCCAGCTGCAGGACCCATGCGCAATTGCCAAGGCCGAAGTGCTGTCCGAATGCATCTGCATAGCAAACACTCCAGCACCAATGTCCTGCAAGACCGCCTGGATGCCCTGGATGGCAACCAAACCTTCCACGGCTGCCTCAAGCTCTGCTTCGGCCGTGCTCAAGCTCACGCACGATTGCCTTGAAGAACGCCATGCAATCACATTTCCAGCAAGCTGGATGATCCATCCTGTATGGGACCTGTTCGCATCTGGGGCAAACGACGCATCCACAAAGCCGGCCAAATAGCGAGAGTTTCCCTCAAACAGCAGTCTCCTCTCGGACGTTCTCTGAAGGTACGCCAACGTTTTCAACCCGATCTCTAGCGCCCTCCGTGGAGCCCTGGTAGCAAGCGATCCAATCACTGAGCACACAAACGCCACATCCGGGCGCGTTCTCTGGCTGATCCAAAGGAGCTCACCCGCAATCTGCTGAGCTGCCCGAACTTCTGCCTCGTCTTGCGGGGCCTCATCTTCGCCAGCTGTAAAGCTCACCGACTCCTTGCCGACGGGCACTAAGTCTCGCTTTCTCGTAGGAACCTCGTGCAACCGCAGCAACTCTTCCAGATAGGACTTCTGAGACAAAGCAAAGCCCTGTGTAGTTCGCGAAATCTCGATCCCCAAGAACCTTATCTCGCCCTCTGACACAAGCTGCAACGGACTGGTCCTCCACATAAACTGAATCGCGGCCGCTAGCTCCTTGATGACCTCGGTCCTCGCACACAACAGCAAATCGTCGACATAGACTACCAAGATCCCAATCAACACAGAGCCCTCTTGCATGATTGACCACCATGATGGCTCCACACGTCCTTGCAAGAGGGTGATCCTCTTTCCATCGACAACTAACTGCACTTGCGCCAACCTCATGTCCCGATACGAGCCCCAAAGTCTTGGGCTTTCTTGAAGACCATAGACTGCATGTGTCAATCTCCACAGCTCCCCGGGACGACAAATGCCGGCACGAACAAGTACTTTAGGTGGAACCCCATAAACCAAAGGTGCCCCATCGAGTGCGCTAAACGGAGTCTGAAGGAACGCCGCCACAATGTCGATCAGCCCCAAGTTCCAGTTAAAGAACCTTGCTAGGGCTATGGCTGCCCTCACAATCTCTGCTGGCGCCGTGCTGGCGTAGACCTCGCCCGCTTGGTGCGATGCCATGTTCCCGCAGATCACAATCCTCGCTTTCCGCTTGAAGTTCTCTTCAGGATGTCCTCCATCAGCAGGTGGATCAGGGGGTTTTACGGTGTACACAACTTTCATTGGAATAAGCTGTGCTCTACCTGAAGCCAAATCTTCACGAACACCCGGATCATCCGACATCACTTTGTCAACCGCATGCTCAAGTGACGCCACCTCCTTCATCAATGAAGGCGTCCATCGCTCGAACACTGGAACTACTTCCCGCGGGTTCACTGTGTAGACCACAGACAAGGGCGAAGCAAGGTTTTCGAGGATGTTCTCAACACCATCCGTGTAGGCAACCTCGGTCTTCCGCACCAAAGGGCTGGACGGCACTGATGGGCGCACCACTGCAGTAGACGCTCCTTCCCGTTCTTCACTCAGAACCAACTGCATTTCACAATCGTTCCAGTGCTCCGTGAGGACATCAGCTGAACTTCCTGCCTGCGAAAGCGCCATAACAGAAGCCGAAGTCGTCGAGGCACTGGATCGCCTGGCGATCGCCCACTCACACTTGAAGAGGTACTCTCCATCTGAAGTCTCAATTACCTCTTGCCACCCTCCTTCTCTAAGCGGAACAACCTCATCCTCAACCCGCTTCTCTTGCTTCGCCGAAGACACCGACAACGCTTGCTTCACCGAAGACACGGACAATGCATTGATGTACACCTCCGGCAAAACGTCACCATCATCCAACGGGAGTGGAAAACCCCAATCCCATAGCATTTCCTTGTCCAGACTGGGAAGAGAACCTAGGAGTCCTGGCGTGTATCCTATCACCGCAATTCTTTCTCCCTTCCACGGAAGAACTGCATGTCGTCGGTGCGGGTCAAAGGTGAAAACATTGCCTTCTTGAAGCGGAAAAGCACATCCATATCTGGCTCTCCCTTCTGCGGAAATCAGCTCAATCACCTTTCCTGAAACCACATCACCATTACGCAATTCCATCCACAGCTCGCCGCCCCTTTTTGGCATGCTCAAGGGAAGGATATGGTTCACCGCCCCTATGGCGTTGTTCTTGTCAATGTGCACCTCACGCTCAGCATTTACTGAGACGTACACGGCCGCAAACTCTGCATCTGGAGATCGAACTTTGAACAGCTTGGCCAACAGCTTGGCGAACCACGGCCTCTCAACTGCTGCTCTGGTAACTCCCAGCCGCCCTCCATGACGAAACATCCCATAGATCTTCTCGTCCTCAGGCAGCACCCGAGCCACTTCCTTCACTAAGGATTCCGCCTCCTCCTGGGACCAGTCCTGAAACAAGGCTTCAGCCCTCTGCTTGAAGACCGAATCATCGATCACTTCCGCCTTGGCCACTCCAACAACATCTCCAGATCCCGCTGACTTCCCTCGAACTCGGCGCTCCGGTGGATCAGGAAACTCCGAATGAAAGTCACCATCAACTGGTCCGGGATCGTGTAATCCAGCACGGACATGAAGAGTGTGGATAAACCGCTCACCGTCATCATCCTTAACATACACCAAGTCGCCCTTGCTCAAGCTGTCCGACAACCCCACATAGACTCCCGAGACCCATTTCGGCGCTAAGTCATCGAGCTTTGGACCTTCCAGTTGTCGCTTCCGGACCATCACTTTGGCGCCGTACGGGGCCGCGAGGTTCGGCTCGAATCCCAGTACATCGCCACGCTGCATTGAAGCCGCCGTACTGATAGCCGATGCCCATAGGTGTTGTGGCAAGCCCGCAGACAACAACAATGTCCTTGCCCGCTGCTTAAGCCACCTAATAGTCGACTCCGCGGCACCATTAGTCTGATGAACTCCGGCCTCAGAAGTGGTCACTCGTATGCCCTCGCTCTTTAGCCACTGGCGGGTCGCTCGTGCTCGGAACTCCATGCCCCGATCAGTATGAAAGCGAAGCACCGGGATGTTCAGCGCCTTGCAATAGAGCACCACATCCTGGATCGCCTCAAGGACGGTGGCCGACTTGTCATCTTTGAGGCCACAAGCAAAGATGAGGTTCACTAGCTCCGGCCCTGCAAGGTCTAAGTCCTCCTCATGATCTCGCCTTGGAACTTCTTTCAGCTCCGGCTCCCCTTCTGCACCATCTTCATCGGAGCGCTCACCGCGCTCACCTGGCACCCTTCGCTCCCCGATCTCGCTCTCAAGCCCATCGTCCTTTTCTTCGTAGGCCTCTACCGCAAGCTCGCCCGGATCATAGTCCACCCACGCTCCACGGCCATCCTCCACGAAGCTCCGAGGAACCCTCAACTTGGCCGCGAAGATATACTTGAACTGCTTCGGGTAAGCTCCCCGGCCATCAGGATCAACGCCTCCCACCTTCACAGGCCCCGAGAGATCGGCTGAGAGAACAAAGGCTGAAGGGTGCTCTACGCGTGAGTGTCGACGACCTGTGGCTCCAGCCTGTACACACACAGCACAATCAGCTCGGAAAGGAAGATGGCCTCGTCGTACATGCTCACGCCACTGGTCTGCACTCATCTTGAACATTCTAGGAACCTTGGCCCACTCCCTCAACGCAATCACCACATGCTCGATAAACTCCGTAGGCCACACGCATGCTGGCGACCTTTCTGGCGCAGGTCCATCTGTGTGCCACCGCATCCTCAAGCCATTCAGGTGCCGAAGGGCGAGGTTGGTACCTATGGTTGTGTGCCTCGGAAAAGCCTTTCCCAGTGCCGCCATGTCGAAGCATTGAGTGCTGAGGCCTGCCTCCATTGCGTACTCCGTCCACAGCGAAGTCCTCCAAAAGCTAACCACATCAGGATACAGTGGATCTTGGAACTTCAGAAAGCCGCGGGGATCACGAGGGTGCTCCAACAAGAATGCCACTTCACGACGAAACTCCGGAGTAGGACCCGATCTTATCCTTCCCGCAGATGACAGAGCATGCAAGTATATCATCCTGGTCAGCAACTGCGTCTCTCGATTGACTTCCCAAACATCTGAGTCTGACTGACCATCCCAGTTTCCGAACGGGTAATCGTTCGAGCGCACAGGTGCTGGTCCACCCACAATGTGCCTGGAGATCATGAAAGTGCCCTGGGGGGGACCGCCGACTATTGCCGCGATCTTGCCCTTTCTGGCCCCATACTCCAGAGCCCGCCACGTAGAAGACCTCAGTAGATCTTGCGATCGCCCACGCTCGATATCCAGCTCCAAAACGGCATATCCATGACCCTCAAGATGATATAGGTCACGCTTCTCCTTCTTTCCCGAGAACAAGTGCACCACCCACTGATTCGAGGACCACAACTTCTTCCTCGTTCTCCGGTTCAAGTGCTCAAGGCCCTTCAGTGCTTGCCACCCATTCGCCTCCGGGAACGCGTCACACAGCCCGGCCTTGCATGGCCGTGGGACTTCTTGGAGAAAGGGAGCCCCTTCCACCGCTTTCATCGCCTCCGAAGCCAGCCCGCTGTCCACATAGGTCAGGAGATGATCAAACCACGTCTTCTCCATTGCCAAAGCAGCCGCTTTCACCCTTGTTCTCGTGTCCGTCGTGTTGTTGCGGAGCTCTTGCAACCGAGCATCTTCCAGCTGCGAAATCAACTTCAACGCTTCATGCTCCGTCACCTCAGGACACCCTTCACGAACACGTAGGGTGATCTGCTCACCATTTCTGCCTTCAAGCCTGCACTTCGACTTTCCCCATATCATGGTATACCCCAGCTGGCTCACCAACGCCCCTAGTGGCACTATGGGAGTAGTAGACCCCGCCGAAGTCAAGGAGGACACTGGCACCAATATTGTGCCCGCTGTGTTCATTCTCAGGCCCACTGACTCACCGCCCGCCAAGTTCACCGTCACCGGCTCTGCGTCATTCCACTCCTCCTGGGTGTTGGCCCGGCGTAGGGCGTGTGTAGCACCTGAGTCAACCAATGCAAACATCGAGAGCTCGTCATCACTTGAGGAAGATTTCTTCAGCGCCAACACATTCATAGACGGCGGCTTCGGTCCTGCTGGCGGTGCGCCCGCGACCTTGGCTGCAGCCTGGAGCAAACTCTCCAGCGTCCACACCGGCTCCCCAGTGATCACCTGAGTGGCTGAAGAAGGCGAACTCTCTCCCTCCGGCTCCACAGAGTGAACCTTAGGCGCTCCAGTGGGGGACGAGGTAGTAGGCGATGGTGCTCCTCCTTGGTGGTTCTGTTGGCCCGTTGGCGTCCTCGTACTTGGCTTAGCTGTCTTTGTTGGGCAATCTCTCTGTCTGTGCTCTTCGCTTCCACAGGTAAGGCACTTTCGGGATCTCTCCAACTTACTCAACCCACTGAGGTCATGAGGATACGGACAGCGTTGGCCACGCCGGCAGCCGTTGGGCTTCAGGAAATATTTGCAAGGCGGCTTGGTAGTAGGGGTCGTTGAGGTTGTAGGCGATCCCGAACCCGTCCCCAGAGCCTTGATCGTAGGAGTAGCCACCTGCACCACCGTCCTTGAGGCCAACATTGACTCCACTTCTGCTTGAAGGTGCTGATGATACTTGACAACATCCGCAAAGGCTGGCTGTCCATCAATCCTGAGACTAGACCTCAGGAGCTGCGTCCGGAAGTGGGTATCCGGATTCTCCATCATGTACTTCATCGTAGTGGACGTAAGCGCCTTGGCCAAGATCGTGCCATCCGGGATGATCATGTTAAGGTCCTTGCACCGTTGAACCCACCTCGGCCATGACCTTAGCCAGATCAAAGCTTCCTCCAGTGACGATGGCTGCACTGGGTTTTGCAAGTTCCCCAGCACAGCTGAGCGCTCAGACGCGCCTCCCGGTTGGTAGCACGTGTGGAGCCTGAACAATATCAACGGGGCACTTTGAACAGCACGTCGAGCAACAAGATCCAATCTCACTGTTTCAACGATGCTCTGTAAAATCAACGAACAGGCCCTCGAGTTCACGCGGGTCCACTTGGCACTGGTCCAGGTCTCATGCCCGCTTGGCTCCAACTGTAACCTTTCCAAAGGTGTAGCCGCCAACCACTTAGAGTACGCATCCCGAACCAGAGCAACTACACCGGTCCACCACGCACCTGAGGACATAGACAGATCTTGCATTGGCACAGCAACCTGGGCCATCCAGTCCTGAAGAACCATACCTGCATTCGCCACCTCAGGTCCAGGTAGAAGCGGCAAACTCACCGTACTCGTCTTCACCTGCTCTGGAGATTCCTCTCCATCCAACTCCCGCTTCATCGACTTCACCTGGAGCTCCTGCAAGCTGGTGAGGTTCCTAGTCAGAGCTTCTAGGATGGCGGCATTCGAACCCTCACCCACATTCTTCACATCGTTCACTGCAGTAGGCTGATCCACCCTATGCGTCCGAGCTTCCGTAGCTGTAGGCCCCGACCTCCGAGATTGGAGTTCTTCCCACAATGCACCTAACGGATCACGCCAGGGATCTGGGCGAGGCTCTGGACGGTCTTCAGGATCACGATGAGGTACGCTATCAGACCTCCCAACGAGAGGAGGATCACTGGGATGCCCTCTTAAAGCTTCTTCGGCCTCAGCGACTTCACGAACTCGCCGATCTTGGGCCTCCTGGTGTGCCCTTTCAAGCTGTTCCTGTAGGCGGAGATTTTCCCCTTCTGCAACCTGAAGTCGTTCAAGGAGGCCGCCTAGCTGTCGTTGTACTTCAGCTTGTATTGCTTCTGCCGGTATGCTGCTGCTGCTTGGGGTTTGTTGGGTAGGGGGAACCGAACGACCATACACCCTGAACCCACTCTCCTGAAGATTTCCAGTCGTAGCCTCATGAGGAACGCCAGAACCATCCCCAGAACGATCAACTGCACCCATATACAGCAGCCTAGGTCTCGGCGGAGAAGGCATCGGGCTTGGCAACCACTGTACGGCGGGTGCCTTGAAGAACTCGCCTATCTTGGTAACCCATCCAGGCAACTGCCCCTGAATTCCAGGGCGAGAAAAGCTCACTCCAGGACCAAACGACCTTGACGATCTTGGAGTATGAAAATCCCTCGCTCCTACACCATCGCTCCACTCCGGAAGAGACGCTCCGCTCTGCACATCAGCTCCTTGAACAGCTGACCCACCTCTGCTTGTACCAGCTTGGCCAGTAGTGTCTGCACGAGTCTCTGGTCCCTGCTCAACGAAGTCCGCAGCAGATGCATCCGCACGCCTCCCTTCTCTCATGACTCCGGATGCCGACGTAGTAGAAGCTGCCGGCAAGGTCTGCGCACCGAGTGCGTCCCCGCCTTCGTTTCCTCCCCCACGACCGGCCTCTTGCCCTATCTCCGATCCAGTGGGTTGCACTGGACCCGAGCCTCGGGCTGCGGTTTCCGCCTCCACTTCCGTTCCATAGGAAGTCCCAGCGGCAACACCGTTGCTCAACGGAGCCCTTGCACCATCATCTGCAGATTGGGCACTCATAACCTGAAAGTCAGGTTTTACAGCCGCTGATGTCAAAGGACCATCCATGGCTACCCCGACTTCGCAATGCTAACTGTTTTTCGCGCAAACAACAACGTCGCAAGCTGCTTGTCTCGAAAGCTTGGCATGAGATCTGAGGGTGTACAAAAGTTGATCTATCATGCTAAGCTACTTCAGTACATGCCTGCTCGAATGGCCTCGACCTATCGTAATATGCAGGACTTCTTTACACGACTCAAGGGCTTTCCCCGTAGCCTTCCCTACAGGGCCCAAACGCATTCCGGAGCATAGCACTTGACAAGCCCCTTCTCATACAACTGCACATGTTGACGTATTTCATCACTTTGACTAAACCCTAAGCCTAAACCGTAAACCCTACAGTAGAACCCAGAAAGTTGGAACATCATTATCCCCATGCCCCTAAGGTAAAGCATAAGGGGATCCTGGCGCTAATCCTCCTAAAGCCATGTTCCGACTTTCTGGGGTTCACCATAAACCCTCAGGGATCTTGGGTCTATGTCGGTGATTGGGTGTCCAAAAAGTCATTGTCATACTGCTGATGATAGAAATCCTGCATTACCTTAAGGTGGTGTATTCCTTATTATGGGTAATGCAGGGTTTATATCATCAACCGTAGAGCTTCAATATTCCAGGGCTCTGGGAGTTCCATTTTAAGTCTGCTACTGCTACTGAATCTGATGACGGGTTTAGGGTTCAGGTTTAGGGCCAGTATAGGGTTTAGGCTTATAAGTGTATCATTACGATGTTGTTTGTTGCCTTCCTTTTCTGCTCATTATCTTGATAACCTTATCTTGATAGTACTGTCGCGGCTTAGCGCGCATGTCTGCATTGCGCCACAAGTGTCTGAGCCGCAGATATAGCCAGCTATGCGTGAATGTCTCTGGTAGCAGGTGATCCTTAGCAGATGGTTCTGAACCCTAAACCCGTAATTAGCCCCAAACCCCAAGCGGTGGAATGTTGTGTTCTTGCTTATTTGGAGCCCGACTCTTCTAAGAGCCCTGCCCAAGGTTTGTGCAAAGTCTTGCTGGTGTAGAATCAACTTAGGCATGAGGGTAGAGGAAAAAGTATACATATATATATATATATATATATATATAATATAGATATACATACATGTCTGTAAGTTAATTCAGAACTCAGGGGTTCATGGTTCAGTGTTGCGGGGGATTGCGGTGCAAGCTGTAGGACGTGCCTCATCACTGGCGCGGACCGCGGTCGCCGTTTGGGCTTTTCTCTGGCCCACAGGGGCTTGCACTGACAAAGTTCAGCCCCTATTATTTTTTCAGTTAGCCCCAAGAAGCCTGTACTGAAACTCAAGCAAACACCAGACTTCGGCCGCCAGAATCCGAGCTCCCAAGCCCTAACCCTAGGTTAGCATCCGCAGCCGTTGAGAAAACAACTTTCCCTAGCACCAGTCTCCTGAAATTTTGTGCTTTATACTACATATGCGTATACATGTATAACTAAGTTAACTAAGTGTGTACCTAGTTACTTATGTCTGTAGTTATGTACCAATGTATGTGTGACTGTAGGAGTATACAGTAGTACATCTTACTCCCATAGTCGAGCTTACATTTAGGGTTCGCAGGGCAGTACTTGCTAGTTATCTATAAGTAGGCTAAGTATAGTCAAAATTTCCAACCCATGGGGACTTACAACTCCAGTTATAACTACGTAAGCTCCACATCTAAGCTTTAGGGGTTTGGTGCCATGCCGACGCAGATCAGTCTCGCGGATGTTGCCAAAACAAAGCTCCGGGAGGTGAAGCACCGGTTTAGGCTTTAGGCTTTGGAGTCTAATTTGGTGTGTTGGGCATGGTGTGTAGTTTTGAAGTGTAGGATGTAAAGGGCTTACCCCCTAGGCCCTAGTCGCGGAATATTCCTTCAACGAGAGTTGTGCCCAATATCTGTGTAGCCATTCTACCCATATAGGCCCTATAGTAGTTCCTTGTTGGGATTGCAATATAGGATTCTACGTATGAACCCCAAACAGGAACTACTATGGGGCCTAAGGGTAAGGCCTAAGATGGTTTATGCCTTTGGAGTCTATTTAGCTCCTCCCTAAACCCTAAACCCTGAAACGAAATCCGTAAACGAGCGTTGTTTGGTTTCATTGGTGCTTGGGCTTTTGGAGCTGGGAGGCATGCAGAGGTTAGGGTTTTAGGGCCTTTTGGTTTAGGGTTCAGGGGGATTCATAAGAGGCTCAGCGGCTGCTGGAGTTAGAGAAGAGCTTCGACGCCGAAAGCGTGGCCGATGATGCAAAGGAGACGGGTTCAGACAAGGATTTTTGATTTCGGGTGTAGGGTCTAGGGTCTAGGTTTACGCTTTAGGGCAGGTGGACGACCTGTGGGATGTTGCTCTGCGACAAGTTCCGTGAAGCGCGCTTGCTGTCATGGGAGCTTACGCTGAAAAGCGTTTTAGAAGGGGCCGCCGTTCTTTCTCAGCATCCTTTTTGTTGCTGGGTTCATCGTCCCAGTTCGAAAATATGGGGTTGTTAGCAGGTTTTGAGATAGGATAGTCTTCATCGGGCGTTGTAGGCTTGTATAGAGATGTAGTAATACTGATCCTCAGGAGGTCTTGAATATGTCATGCTTTCTAGTATAGAAGCCTTCAAAGTCGTTTCTGCAGTGTGAGAGCCATAGCGACTGGCAGAATGCTAGTACCCAGAGACTCCAATGAATATACCTTAAATTGTAACAGGAACCCTAATATGATTTAAGGTGGTTTAAGGTATATTCCTTGGTTAAGGGGTATTGGAGTCTCTGGGTGCTTCCACAGAGGGGCCACCTCCTTAGGTTTGTAGGAACAGGGTTGGTGCTAGGGGCAAAACCAGAAGCCCCAAACACACCCCAATCCCGAATAACCCGAGCTTCGTGGGGTTCTCTGATGTGCTTTCCTGACCCTATAGAGAACCTAAAACCCTATACCCTTGTAGAATCCCTATAGATCCCCTTAAAGCGGCCCTTAAAGGAAACCTATTATAACCACGCATGAACCTTCAAGCAAGCCCGGCACCCGTTCAGGAGCTCTTTGCGCGATTGAACGATAGCGTCGGCGTCGCCGGCGCCCAGCGGATCATCATCGAAGCATATCTACTCGAGGCCTACTATAGGGGCCTGAATAATTACCTTTACCATTTTCTGGGGGGTCCCTTCTTATCAGTATAGCATAAGTAAGGGGCCCCAAAACCCTATTCTAATTCGTAAGGCCGCTTTCGGCCCCTCTAGTGTGCATGTTGGACACTGTGACTTCTTGGGTGGTTGGGCTGACATTTTGTTTGGGTGGCGGTTCATGGGTAGTACTTGTAGGTGCATGGGTAGTTATAAGTGGGGTTCTAAGGAGGGTAGCTATAAGTATAATCCAACTTAGGGTACCTTTATTTTTACTACCCATGAACCTTCAAGTAAGAGTACCTTAGTCAGAATTGGTTTGCTGGCCACGTTATACCTAGAATTGTACACGTACCTCCCCTGAAGATTCAATCTTAAGTAGCTGCTGCGGCCCTCCTGCTTCAGGTGCCTGGACCCCAAAAGTATGTAGAACAATAGCCCTTTATAGGCTTTGGGCCATTATTTTACCTACTGTTGGGGGGTCTAGGTAGCAAGGCTTCAAGCCCAGATAGTCTTCTCATCATCGGTACTTCAGGCGCGCCACGGTTAGAAGACCATATGGGTAGTTGTCAACATTAGGGTCCCTTTCTGGGTACCCTCAACATTAGGTGCCGTATTATATTGGGGACCCCAAAAGGGAGCATAATTTGGACAACCACCCATATGATTGCATGATCCATGCACCACTTTGTCTTTGAAGTGACGGTATCCGAAAGTTGCACAAAGCAATAGGTGTTTGTAGAACGCAGGGGTCCAAGCGCTTTTCCTGGTTATCTGAAGGTATTTGGGTAGTTGTATCAATGATAGGCTTGCAAGCCAGTAGCCTTTAATCCGTTCCTGGGATTAATATCACCCGAATGGCCCCAAACCCGAAGCTCGCGCTGAAGCGTAACCCCTAATGTTTTAGTGCCGGCTTGTGCATAGAGGACCGAACACTTGCCTCTTATTGCCTAGTATGTCCATACGAATACTAGCGTAGTCCCTAGAGCCAATGTCGTCAGGCCTTTCTGTTCGGGCTAGCTGTGATTACCTGGATCCACCAGTGCTTGGTGTAGGAGTGTCCACGACTAACTCTAGCGGAACAAGCACTTAGGCTGGAAGGTTCGGAGGGTTTGAGGTTATGGTTTTGATCTCTACCTTAACCTACCAAAACCTACAAAAAAGTAGGATCCCTATAAGTTCCATATTAGGGTTTATATTAAGAACCTACAACAAAGTAGGGTTTGGTGGGTTAAGGTAGACCCCAAACCCGTTTTTTCAAGCTCCTAAATGTGGTTATATAAGGCTATTCCTTGGTGTGCCTGGGCTTCTATACATCCAGTTTCCACCTCGACTAGGAAGCCAAAGGCGCACTAAGGATCCCAACTCCCCAGACCTTCCAAAATCCCTTAATTAAGGAATATACCTTGAATTATAGTAGGATCCCTAATATGATTTAAGGTATATTCCTTAATTAAGGGATTTTGGAAGGTCTGGGTCTAAACTCGCCATAAACTCCAGAATCCGGAAGTCCTAAAGCCTGAAGCCCTAAGGCTCCATGTGCCCGTATAGTGGCCTTAAAGTACCTATAATATAGGGACCCCTTTTCAGGCCTTATCACTTGCTATATGGGTACATGGAGCCTTTGGGAAGACCCTGAACCCACTTTTACTAGTTTAGGGTTTAGGGTTTAGGATTTAGGGTTTAGGGTTTAGGGTTTAGGGCCCCTACATGGCATCCCTTAACCCGGGACCTTCAGCCCTGCTTGCATCAGGAGCGCCTGCAGGATGCGACCAAGCTCATGGAGGAGGGGCTTTATAGTCCCTATGTGGGTGGTTCTCAAATTTAGGGCCCCTTTTTGGGTACCCTAAAGATGGGGTGCCGTATTTAT